CGGCTACAACAACTCCGCTCAGATCGGTTAGTATCTCAGTCGTTTTCGTCAAGTTCAACTAACGGAAGACCCAAGAAGCGTGCAGCCTCTATAGGGTCTGTCCACAGGGACAGAGGCGTCAGTTGTGTTGGGTTTTCCGGGCATACATGGGGCATCTCTCCGCATGCCGGACACTCATTTGGCATATCTGCATCTAATCTTCTCAGGTACGAGTTTAGCCTGCTGCAGTAGCCAGAGCCGAGTTGGGCTATTCTGGTTCGCGTCTCCCGAGGCAGACGAAACTCCGTCTCGTCTATGTCAGGTGGTTGAGTGCCTATAACGGTATTCACAGGTCTGGAGTCTACGTAACTTGAGACTGACTCACTGTGAATGCCGCTCAGGGCTTGTCGATATGCCGACGGGTTTAGAGGTTACTTTATGAACCTCTGGATTTCGTCCGTCAGTTCATATAGATGTCTCCTGACATGCTTTGGCGAGGGCTCCTCTGCAAGCAAGTGTCAGTTCGGATGTCCACGTCTGTGGTTCCCTACTAAGAATTGCTTGCAAAGCATTGTGTTGTGCTTTATGGGGAGCATTTTCGCATCGTCATGCAGATGGTGTTCTGGCGACATCAGCGGCCCTATTCTGTAACTCGAATCGAAAGTTGATTCTATTCGAATGTTATTCGATTCGAATTTGTTTTAGCATTCTGTAAAAGTTTCGGATCGAGTTTCTTGTTTTGCGAAAGTTGTACCACCCTGTGCCAGAATTTTCGAATGTCAAACGTCAAAACACATAGAAGGAAAACAAATAAACAACTAATTTAAATTAAAGAATTGTTATTAATTTTATAAACAAAAAAGTGGATTCCGTTGCATTGTGGATGGACGAAGAAATTAATGAAGAGAGAAATGCAAGAAGGGATATTAGAAATCATTTTAATATTGATGAATTATCGGAAAGAAGGAAAATGCATAAATATGTAATGTAACCGGCTATAAACTTGTTAGTGGTTATATATTTGAAATTTTAGCTTCATAAAAAATTTTCGGCTTTCCAAGGAAGCCTTCAATTATGTGTTGAGAAGCATAGATCACGAATGACATGCACCTATAAGATCTACGGCAGTAACTCCGACAGTAAAACTTGCTGCTACTCTAAAATTTCTTGGGTAAGGGAGCTATGAGCAAAAAAAGGGCAAGACCGTTTTGCAGGATTAGCGCAATCCGCGACTTCTAAATGTACCACGGAAGTGGTCAATGCGATTAAAAAAACTTTATGTCCGAAGCACATCAAATTTGAAATGACCGTGCAAGAAAAACGTGAAGCCAAAAACCATTTTTATTTAAAATTTGGATTACCAGGAATATTAGGTGCTGTTGATGGTACCCATATCCAGATGGTTAAGCCGGTAAAGGATGAACATCTGTTCTTTAACCGAAAGCTAAAGCATAGCATCAATGCAATGGTGGTAAGTGTTTAATACTTACAAGTTTTTGTTCATACCTCTTCATAACATTTTTTATTAGATTTGTGATCACAAGATTCTCATGTATGGAGCTTGTCAAACGAACGACAATATATGAAAGCACAATACCAAAATGGAGACAAGTCATCTTGGATAATTGGTTAGTGACTTAATCCATATGTACTTGTATCACTTAAAGCAATCTTACAATTTATTTTATGGTACATAAGACTACATACAAAAAAGGGGCATTTGCATATGTAAATGCATATGGTGCAAAAATCCTGTTAGCAGCGCAGTACTCTGTAACAAACTCTTATATAATCTGTTTTATATTCCCAAACGTACCAGTTCTTACAAATTTGCATGCATTATCTTCTATTTTCAAGGTGACTCTGGATATCCATTAGAGCCATGGCTCCTCACACCATACCGTAACGCAGAAGAAAATTCTCCAGAAATCTTATATAATAAAAGGTTTACCAAAGCGCGATCAATAATAGAGCGAGTGTTTGGAATTTTAAAAGGTCGCTTTCGTTGCCTACTTGCTGGAAGAGAGCTTCATTATACACCCGAAAAAGTAGTAAAAATTGTAAATGCTTGTTGTGCACTGCATAACATTTGCCTTATATACAATGTAATTGAGATCAATGAAGAAGGCTCAAATTTATCTTTATCGACCAACTCAATATAGAAGAGAACGGATTTTTACGTGTGGCGCAGACAATACGAGACCGAATTAAAAATAGCTTGCGTTCCTAATTTAAATTTCGTAACTTTGTGTAGTAAATTAATATCATTAAAGAATTTTCCACAATAAGTACATTTTCTTTTTTTATTTATTTGAGAATAATAAATAATAATATATGAATATGTTTTTGGTTCTATTACAAACATACATATGTATTTATATATGAAAACAAACATAAAAGTTTGCTTAAGGTATCTAGCAGCTGTTGCTTGAGTCTTAGTTTTGAAATTCTAATTTTGTTTCTCTACATGACGCTTTTTACTTTGTTTTCATGTTTTAATTTTGGGAATTTAAGTTTCTGTTTCCCTATTTCTATTTTCTCTTCCACTGGTTCCATAGATTTCTTATTTGGTTTTGATAATGATTTTAAATTGTAATTTACGTCTTTTAAAATGCGAGTGCAATCTTTGTGGAATTTTGTTTGCCCATCCACTTGCATCTTCAAAAGATTGCTTTTGCTTTGAGTTCGGGACCGCATCGTACTGCAATTGGGTGACGCCTGGGAACAGGAAGGAGGAGTACAAGGTGGCAGTTCTGCACGATCCTGCAAATCAGTTGCATAATTCGGAGTGGTTGGAGCAGTTTCACATTCGTTGCTGTTAGGGGCTTCATTTCTTCCTGCACCGAATTTTTGAGCACCGGCTATTCCATCTACTGCTTCATTTATTTGCAACAACTCCATTACCCTTAACTCCACTGAATTAAGGGAATTAATTTTTGCAGGGCCACCACCAGTTCCCGACATGTGCAACTTATTTTTGCGCACTTTGGCTTTGAGGTGGGTCTTGTAATTCGCCCAAACCTTAAATATGTAAATCAAAAATAATAATAATAGTTAATAATAAGCGAAATTGCATTCATAGTGCCATCGTATGTTTAAAATATACTCTTCTTCATTACATAAATTAAATGCATTTATATTTTTTGTTGTTTTTTAATATATTTCAAATGTAACATTTTCTATAATTTAATTCCTTTTGCTTTATTAAAACTGTACTTCATTGAGCGGTTCATTAGCGTACAGTATTTATCATAACCGTTATACCTTGAAAACGGTACTTTGATAGGTCGTACGACGCGTAACTCGTGTTGCAGCTTTAAGAGTTAACATTACATTAAATTACCTTCTTCCTTGAAGATGCATCCCGCGTAGGTGGTCACTCTCCATTTTACTGTTCCGTCAGCCGTCCCCACAAATTCTTGGAAGTTTGCTTAGGATCAGCGCACTTTATGTAGCCTTTGGCCAAACTTCGATGCGATTCCATAAATTCCACCATAATTCCAAATTGGCTTTGTTTTGTATGCTGGCTTTTGCTGGATGAATCCCTACTGAAAAATATTTTACGTTTATAATGGTTATACTTAATAAAGAATCATTAAAATACTTACATTTTTCAAATAGTATTACAGCTCAAACGCTAACGAGTATTATTTGCGAAGATCGAATGAATTTGACATTCAAATTCGAGTTACATAGTTGCCAGTTTTCGGTTTTCGAATACACGATTCGAAATTAGAATTGCTAATGCGAAAATAGAGTTACCAAGTACAAAAAATCCGAATTGGAGTAAATTTATTTTCGAATCGAGTTATAGAATAGGACCCCAGAAGACATACAGCCGCTGTCCGAAGTGCTGTGTTTTGTGTCGTCTGCAGCTTCCTCCACTACTAGTCCCCGGCGACCACACTGGCGCTGGCGGCTACAACAACAAGAGCAATATCAAATTTAATGGGTCGATTATCGATAGCAATCCAACTTCAGTTGCGTTGCTAGTTGCCAAACCGATATTACAGATGGCAACTGGCAACTTTCAACTGACAACTGCAGTTGCTACAAAGTGTGGATACAGGCGACATATTTGTGGTTGCTGGGAATGTTTCTGGAGCGTATTTAGGAGCGAAAATTTTAAAGGGTGTCATATATTTTACTTTTTAATAATTTGAACGATATTAACATTTTGCAATGCAGTTTGCTTTTACAGAATATGGCGAAAATAACAAAACCATAACTTGAAATTTTAGTTCTCGTGGAGTACGCTCTTTGGCGAAATAAAAGCCAACACTGATTGCATTTACTGATTACCTTTATCAACAGAAGCACCTCTTTTAAAACTACCGACACACCAAGTTTTCCAAATTGAAGTCATTGCTGTGGCACTTCCTTCTGCGAAAAATCGAAGAGTTGCGCAAGCTTTTATGAGCGGAGGTATTGAAGTTGAACGAAGAGGTTCATCTGTTTATTAACCAATTATACTACAGCTCCATTTGGAAGTCCTCAATATGCTTTGAAAATGAACACAAAACGATAATAAAAGAAAAACCTTGAAAGCATTAACTTTTGCATACAGTGCACGCGGTAGCTTTAGAGGATTGGAATTATCCTTTAAATGTGGCCTGATTGAGGCCGCGTTCATGCACTCTTAAAACTCTTTATTTTAATAATTTAATTTTACTCGTACAGCTTGTTTACAGCTGCTTGCTGGTTGTCAAATTTCGATTATCGATAACTCTACAGCAACTGAAGATAGTTGACGATTCGTAATACAAATTTTCTTTCCAAGTTGCGTTGCCGGCTGGCAACCGAACCGTGGTTGCGTTGCTGTCCGCCATCGACCCATAAAACTTGACTTACTTAGTTTATTAAAAACTCGTATTTACATATTGCGAGCCGAATGGACCCCATAAATTATTTTTCCTGCTGAACACAAATTCATTTGAATTTTTAATACATACTTACCCAGAATTTGTCCGCGAATAACCCTATTCGGTTTAATAGAATACTTTGAAATAAAACATACATGCTAAAAGCTTTTCTTCTTTAATATTACAGATCTTGCTCTTTAAAAGTAAGTTAACAAAAGATTTCTTACGTACAATATATACATTTATATCACTGCAATTTACACCGTCAAATAAAATTTTCAACAAAGTTTTATATTCAAAAAATTTAACATAAATGTGCTTCGTCGTATAACACTGGGTATAAGAAAGCCAGAACAGTCAGAAATATTTGAAACAGTATGTACAGAAATATTACCGTTTTTTCTTAAATGTTTTATTAAGTTTCCGCCGTTTTAAAATCATTTCATAAAGTGCTTCTAAGCCCTCTTGCAGACCTTCTCCAGTAATGGCACAGGCTGGTTGGATATACCATCCTTTGAATTGATGTAATGCTGCAGAATAACTGGTGGTTTTGGTTGCCTTTTTTTGTAGAAACAGCGTATTGGAAGCTGTAGCCGTAGGTGTTGTCACCACGGATGATGGTGAAGATTCATATGTTAAATTTTTGTCTTGAGTAGTTTTATTGAGCATCGAAGATGTATGTCTCTCGCCCGTGTTGCTAAATTCGTCGTTCAGATAATGCTCCGACTCATTTCCTACTGGATTTGATGTAGCTGCCGCAGTCGAGGACGATGCAGAAAACTGAATTTTTAAATTTCTTGTTAAACCATCTTTAGAGAAACCACTTTCTCCACTATATCCAAAGCTTTTACTGTGCTGTGACGTTGGCGTCATACTTCTACTGAAGGTATTAATAGTGCTTGTACTGCTGCTGCTGCAGCCCACAATATTCCCTGTTGACGATGAGCTAGCACATATACTTTGTAAATGTACCGCTGGGTATAAAAGTTCATGTAGACCTAATAATTTTTCTAATTCCTTAGGGTTACGAGCACCAGGTAAATCTTGCTTGTTTGCCAGTATTAGAACAGGAACACCCTAAAAACACAATGTCTTAACTTTTATTGTAGAGAAATAACTTCGTTTCTTACCTGATTGTCGGGGCATTTGGCTGTTCGCATAAGTTCCATTTTAGCTTCCTCCATTCGCTCTACATCCACCGAATCAACCACGAACAGAATGCCATCGGTGCATCTAAAATTTGAAAAAGTTAGAGAATTAGATAAACTCATTGGCCGAAAAGCGATATTATAGTCTGTGGTTTTGATTATGTCGTGGTTTTGGTTATGCCGTGGGTCCATTTTTGGCAGGTTCATTTCTCCTTATGCAACGAATATATATTCTGAGTTTGAAGCATATCGGACAATAAATGAGATTTTTTAGCATAGCTCGACCCCTGCACCATGTTTTTCATGGCAGAACTATACTCGGAGGTTTGCCATTGCCTGCCGAGCGGAGACCGCTGTTAAAAAAAAACTTTTTTCTATATTTTTTATGATGTTGTTTTGACCAGGGCTTGAACCCAAGCCCTGCGGAGTGGTAGCATGCACTGCTAACCACTACACTACAGCGGCTGCAGCAGTTTATAAAGGAATAAAATCGAAACAAACAAATTTAAATTTTAGGGTGCGTTCACACAGAAAGCCGAGCGGCGCACTATAGGCAAAACACGAGTTTTTTTTCAAAATCGTAGATCTTCGCTTAGAAAAGAGATAATGGAATGAAAATTTTTTTATCGTGATAAATATAAAGATAAATGATCATATAATATAGGAAAACTATAGAGAACAACAATAACTTAACCCTCAAAATACCATTCAAAATGTCACTTTTTTTTTTGAAATTTTGGATTTTGGCTCCCATTCCACTAGAAACCACTATATTTAATACACCATTAGCATTGTTTCTGAAAGATTTCTCTTTATTTTATCTTAAGACTCGATTTATGGGACATTGGTTGCTGTACCCGAGTGGCCAGATTGGAAAAGAAAAGCTTCCTTTAAACTCTAATAACTCGTAAACTATCAGCTTTCACAAAAAAATTTATATAAGAAAAATGGTTATACTGGTCGAGATATCTTTACGAAAGTGCAGCATTTAGCCCTTTAATGTAGAGTCTGTCATATATGAAACGCCTTTTAACCCTTTCAGGGTAGAGGCAAAATGGTCGTTTTTAGGTCCCGAAAATTTTCGGGATTTGTAATTTACACTGGTGGCAATAATAGAAACGCTTTATGTTGACCAGTTTTGGCAACATTTCTTTTGTTTATTTAATATTAAAATTTTTTTATAAATGTGTAGCTCAATATACTTATAATACCTTGCGACAAGCAATTTTGCGCACAAAAAGAAATCAATATATTCGCCAAATATTGTAAAATTGCGTTCTTAATTTTTTCTTTCTGACGACAGAATTTTTTAAAAGAACTTTGAAATTTGAAAGATATTAGTAATTCAAAAAATGATTTAAAAATTTAAGTGCAATATACTTAAAAAAACAGTATGGGTATCAAATGAAAGAGATGACTATGTAGAGTTAAAGCATTAAATTTTTGGTGCATAAGGGACGGGTAGGTATTGAAAATATCCTTTTATAATTTTATCCTTGAATATCCTTGAAATTTTGCAATTCTTATTTTTGAAAAAATTATATGTTAAGGACCAACTTTATTAGCTTAAAACTAATAAAATAGATTAAAGGGGCATTTTCAATTCCTATTGTGAACCAAAAAAAATTATTTCTTTTGGTACCCATATTTTTGTTTTACATTGCACTGNGAATATGCCGCATGAATTTTGCTGAATTCGGTGAAGCCGTTCTCAAGTTATATGGTCACACCAAAAACGTTCACTTATTTTTATATTGTTAGTTAGTATGGGTGGTGTCACGCCCCCTTTTCCGAATTCGGGCAAACTTCGCATAAACCATCTGCATGATAGATCGAATATGTCACATAAATTTGGTTGAATTCGGTCAAGCCGTTCTGAAGTTATGCGGTCACACCAAAAACGTGCACTTATTTTTATATATAAGATGAGGTAGACTTTTATAAAAAAAATGTAAATTTTGAATAAACANCCATCTGCATGATAGATCGAATATGTCACATAAATTTGGTTGAATTCGGTCAAGCCGTTCTGNATATAGACAAATGTATACATAAATGCTCAGAATGAATAGAGAAGTCGATTCGGCCATGTCTGGCTGTCCGTCCGTCTGTCCGTCCGTCCGCGTACACGATAACTCGAGCAAAAATTGAGATATCTCAACTAAATTTGGTATGTAGGTTTCCGTTAATCGAGGTTGGTATTGAAAATGGGCGGAATCGGACAGTAATCACGCCCACTTCCCATATAAAGGTAATTTCCATAAATACGAAAACTGCGATATTTTAGTGACTACTGAAGATAATTCACTCAAAATTGATATTTACAATAACTTTCAGACGAAAAATAAGAATATTATAAATTTTTGGAAAATGGGCGTAGCCACGCCCACTTATGGTAACATGTGTATATCTTGGTAACCGCTGCACCAATTTCTTCCAAACTCGGGTATAAAAATCATGACGTCAGAGAAATGCCCATTTATATGCAGTTAATTATATGTAATACTAGCGGTACCCCGTGTGCTTCTCTACACCAAATATTGAAAAATGAGTGAAAAATCCTGGAATTTTTCTATATGAAAATTTATCATATGTTTTATTTTAAAATTTTTGATTCTTTATTTTAAATCTTAATCCAACACATTTGGACATACAACATTTTTTGTTTTTCCATCTTCGGTATGAATAAATAAACTATTTGGAATGCCAACTCTTGAACAGGCCACGTATAGCTACCAATTCCAGTAATCTACCACAAATATTTCAAGAGATATACCAGATGAAAATTTTTGTTAGTATGGGTGGTGCCACGCCCCCTTTTCCGAATTCGGGGAAACTTAACACAAACCATCTGCATAATAGCCCGACTATGCCGTATAAATTTGGTTGAAATCTTGCACTTATTTTTTGTATATAAGATGTGAGATGCCACGCCCCCTTTTCCAATACCGCCCATTTTTCTCCATGAGTATGTAATNCGAGCAAAAATTGAGATATCTCAACTAAATTTGGTATGTAGGTTTCCGTTAATCGAGGTTGGTATTGAAAATGGGCGGAATCGGACAGTAATNAACTGGCTGAATTAAGGCGGTTCTTTTATTTCTGCCACTAGTATTATGAACTTCTTTCAACCAGAAAATAAATTTGTTCACTTAATTNCACCAAATATTGAAAAATGAGTGAAAAATCCTGGAATTTTTCTATATGAAAATTTATCATATGTTTTATTTTNGAATTCACATAAACCATCTGCATGATAGCCTTAATATGCCGTATAAATTTGGTTGAATTCGGTGAAGCCGTTCTCAAGTTATAAGCTCACACCAAAAGGGTGTACTTATTTTTATACATAAGATACATATGCCACGCCCCCTTTTCCAAATTTAGGCAAGCTCCACATAAAATATCTGCATGATGGCCCGAATATGCCNTGCACCAATTTCTTCCAAACTCGGGTATAAAAATCATGACGTCAGAGAAATGCCCATTTATATGCAGTTAATTATATGTAATACTAGCGGTACCCCNTTTAATTACTGTCTTTCGTTTTGTTACTTATGAAATAATTTTCACTTTGAGTAAAAACNAAATTTGGTTGAATTCGGTGAAGCCGTTCTCAAGTTATAAGCTCACACCAAAAGGGTGTACTTATTTTTATACATAAGATACATATGCCACGCCCCCTTTTCCAAATTTAGGCAAGCTCCACATAAAATATCTGCATGATGGCCCGAATATGCCATATAAATTTTGTTGAATTCGGTGAAGCCGTTCTCAAGTTATAAGCTAACTAACTAATTTTTATATATAAAATAGACGCGCCACGCCCCATTTTCCGAATTCAAGCAAACTTCACATAAACCATCTGCATGATAGCCCGAATATGCCGCATGAATTTTGCTGAATTCGGTGAAGCCGTTCTCAAGTTATATGGTCACACCAAAAACGTTCACTTATTTTTATATTGTTAGTTAGTATGGGTGGTGTCACGCCCCCTTTTCCGAATTCGGGCAAACTTCGCATAAACCATCTGCATGATAGATCGAATATGTCACATAAATTTGGTTGAATTCGGTCAAGCCGTTCTGAAGTTATGCGGTCACACCAAAAACGTGCACTTATTTTTATATATAAGATGAGGTAGACTTTTATAAAAAAAATGTAAATTTTGAATAAACAAAAGGAATATAGACAAAACTGGCTGAATTAAGGCGGTTCTTTTATTTCTGCCACTAGTATTATGAACTTCTTTCAACCAGAAAATAAATTTGTTCACTTAATTTTTTTTTTGCATCGAGTTTTTTTCGACATACCTTAAATTACTTTATCAGATATGTACACGCTAAAATCTTATTAAATGCATACAAATTTAATTACTGTCTTTCGTTTTGTTACTTATGAAATAATTTTCACTTTGAGTAAAAACGTACGTTCCAAACCCATTTACTTATTAATTATTATATGGTAGGAGAGCTTCTCACCATATTGATGCAATTTTTTCACGTTAAGTTGTTGAAAATTGATAAATACCTAAATCCCGGGACTGATCCCGGGATTGAACAAACGACATCCCGAAAATCCCGGGATCGTAATAAACGAAAAAATTAACATCCCTAATACATACATATGTATATCTTGTTTGCAGAAGCGTCATGAAGCTAAAAAATTAAATAGAAAATCCAAAATCAAAAACTGCTTTGCCCTCAGCTCCAAAACGCTTCGAAAACGTTTGCTGTATGAACACTTTCATATAGCTACAGCAATTTGAAAACCTCACTCCGCTCGGAACGGCTTCGCTCGGCTCGGCTATGCTTTCTGTGTGAAAGTACCCTTAGATTTTAGCTGGATTTATTTTACTCAAAGTTACTAGAATTTTATTCGAGTTTTTATTTAATAAAGGAATTAAAAAAATATTTCTCCAAGGCGTGGTTCTGGTAGTAAAGTAAGTTAGCCTACTTAAGTTGAGTTGGAGAAACCAGCACATAGAGTTAGATACTCTTTTTAGCGAATTCTTAGTCTTTCAAAGTTTTTGCCTAGTTTAAAAAATTAATTTAAGCCATGAGGAATTATAGATGAAGTCCGTAA